GAGAGAGAGAGAGAGAGAGAGAGAGAGAGAGAGAGAGAGAGAGAGAGTTTGCCAACATTTAAAATATATAGAGGGAATTACTGCAAGAATCAATTAGAAAGATGTAATATATATTTCAGAGTTAAGTTTGCAGATCATCTTCAGAAGTGGAGTTTAACTCACAGATGCATGCAGTTCCCTGACCTATATGCAAGCTCTTCTAGTACAGAAAAATAAAGTCACCCAAAAGTAGAGGCAGAAAAAAAGCCATTCAGACTGCATAATATGCTTTTCACCAAGGTTGTGAAAAGATTCCAGGAGAAAAGACTCTTGCTTTTCCAAAAACACATTCAATATTTCCAGTTGTGCTCCCTCAATACTGTCTAAACGGAGAAGGAATTTAAGCAGAATTCAGGGACATTTGCAATTTCAACTTCTGTGCACTTATCAGCTTTGTTAAAATATGTTGCATAATTGACACTTCATTTCTTTTAAACTATGGTGTATTTTAATGATCGTGTAAAAGAAAGGATTTGCTGACACAGTCAGGAAACAGATGGTGACCCCCTCCCATAAAATGTTGTAGCTACGTGCCAATCATTATATTTCACTTACAGTATATGCTACCTAATTACATTCATCAGTCCAGCACATAAAGTCATTTTGCTGTTCCATTAGAATGTCTTTTAATCTTTTAAATTTACATTTTTGGCTATTTATTTGGCTTGATATTTTGCTCTGTTTTTGTTTTTGCATGCTAGTTATTTATCTATTATGTATTGTCTCTTAGATATTTGAGGAGGAGGTTCTGCATATTTAAGAAGTGTAACTAGAGAGGATTATCCTCTTGGCCCCTGTTGGCTGTGTTTCATTCGATATCTGTAGTATGCCTATAGATGTATGCTTTAAATCCAGGACTCTAAGACAGTGTGGAGGATTTGCATACTGATACAAGTAAAGTAATTACATGATACAAGGCACTATACACAGTATAATGGTTCCTTAGAGATATATGGTAAGGCATGTCTATGGAGATTCTCAGTCATCCAGGTCATGCTTGTCCCAAAAATGCTTTTTCAAGAGGCAACTGGACTGTCTTGTTTTTCTTAGAAAACATTTTGCGTCTCATCCAATAAGCTTCTTCAGCTGACTGGATAGTAGAGTATGGAAGGATTTATATTCCTTGCAGACAGCTGGTCATTTGCATTCTTTTAGAGAGTCCTTAAGGCCACTTAGAGGTTTGCCTGTGTCCTCAGGTTCACCCGAGTAGTGCAAATGGGTGTGGACATTTTTGGAACTGGCAAAAGGGTTCCTGTAGTTTGTAATTTTTCGGGAAATCTGTTTATACTCCTGCACCATCCCAAAATTCTTGGATGAGAAGCAAAACATCTTAAGAAAAACAAGAAAGTCCAGTTGCCTCTTGAAAAAGCACCTTTGGGACAACCATAACCTAGATGACTGAGAATTTCCATAGACATTTAGCTACATACTTTGGGATGAACAACCTTGAATGGTGAGGGAGTATGAACAGATTTCTAGAAAAATTGCTGACTTCAGTAAACTCTTAGCTTACCTCAACTACTGAAAGCAAGTGGTTTATGCCTGTGATGTTTTTGGCTATCTATATTCTGTATCAGATTTAATCCACCAATCCTGGATTTGAGAGCCTGTTTTTTTTAATGCTTCACAAGCAACAGAATTACTACATCTAATGTATATTAGAGTTTTATATTGTTTTTATTTGCTTAAGTACTGTACATTGTAGAAAGACTGCATCTTATGTAACATGCCATTGCCATTTCTTGGAAAACTTTTCTGTCATCTCACTTTAGATCTGTGATTCATAGTGAAATGAATATATAGCTGCTTTTGTTTAATTCCCATTTCTGTTTTTTAAAGAAACCTGTATTTGCTGTCCTTACATATCAAAAGAGATATATATGATTCCTTCCTTAGTGACCCAAATAATGTGTAATTGGTTTTTTATTTATTTAACTAGGGATCTGCATTGTTCTTCATTGTAAATAAACATTAAATGGTATAAAACCAACTAATGAAATAATAATGGAGAACCTTGACAATCATCACAGAAGCACCCTCAATGGCAGAGCAGCCTGAATTTGACCAAAGGTTTTAAAACAGGGGTCTCCAACCCCTGGGCGATGGCCACCACAGGGCCATGGTCTATTCACAACTGAGCTGTGGCTGGTGCACAAACACACCCACGCAGCTCAAGTTGAATAAGTGGTGGGTTGGCACACTGTTTCCACTCTCAACCACCACCCCGGCCATGCCGCCAAGCCACAAAGGTTGGGGACCACTGTTTTAAACTACAAGTTGGTTTTTAACTAATACCAAAAGTTAGCTAAACTTGATGCCTTCTGTAAGTGGACAGAAAAGAAAATTCCAAAACGTAGTCACCGAACTGGTAGTAACACCAGTTGAATCCCACCCCTGGTTGGAAAGTGCACCCATTCTGATCTATTAAAATTTTTGATAGCATTTGATAATATCAACCATGGTATTCTACAAGACTGTTTGCAAGGGTTACGAGCAGGAGACACTACTCTGTAGTGGCTCTGCTTTATGTGATGGGCAATTACTAGTCAATAGTTATATAGACAGACCAGATGATCCTATGGTTCCTTCAGTATGTGATGCCATAGGAATTGGCACATCATAGGAATCCATCCCTTCCTATAGAGTATTTAATTTTTATATGGAGTTACTGGGAGAGGACATTACTCATGATTCTCAGTATTAGATTGCCCCCCATGTAATTCTTGAATCAGTTTCTGGAGGCTTTCTAGAGAAATAAACTCATGCCAAACTAAGACAAGATGGAGTTTTTGTTTGTTGATAAATATCTAGAGCTTCCAGTAATATCAACTATGGATAATAATTTTGATGAGGCCACTCTCCTCTCTTGTTTCTGTGTGGGATACTGTTAGAGGTTGTCTCCATCATCTATGGTATTCAACTTCTATATGGCGCTGCTGTGGAGACTGTCTTCGCATTTTGATTCTGCCCATTTGATCTAAGTAACTAGAAGAAGTAGTCTTCTAAGTCTTCTACTCCAAGTCAGGTAAGAGAACAGATAAAATCCCAGAAGCAATATGCTTTAAAACAGGCTACCTGTGGTGCCTGGCTCCCATCATTCTGTGGGCCTTTTGACCTTTAATATGATTATAATGAAAATCATTAGCAGCAGCAGTATTATTTCAATTTTAGGGCCACCCAACTTCACAGCAACACTTGGCAGTTCTTTTTTTCCCCGAAGTGATTGTCATTGCCTACTTCTTATTTGTGTCTGGGTAACAGCCTAAAGTCATGCCTAAGGCAGGACTAACAATTCATGATTCCCCACTTTCCAACACGATCCCTTTAACCACAATACCAAACTGCCTTTCTTGTCATTATTATTGTAGTTCAACTAACATGGGTTTGGGATTATTTTGTTTATTTCCCCATGCATTGTCAAGAGTCCATTTTTATTGGAGTAGTATATAAATACTATGAAATAAATAAAAACAAAAACAAAACAAAATAACCAGGATGACCCTTCGTCTTTGTTTGATTCATATTGTAACAGGAAATTCTGAATCAGAGACTATTTGCTGTGGGTTTTTTTAAAAAATATATTTATTCCATTGCTGATGTTATTACTGTTGTTGAGGGGAATGAAAATCATAGTTTGATTAAAGAAAAACTCTAGGGTGACAGTAGAGAGAACAAAGAAAACAGAGTAGTGCAGGAGAAAAAGAAAAGACAAAGCAAAAAGTGGCAACCAGATAAAAATACATTTGCACATATAAAGCTGTTCTAATGAGAGGCAAATTGGTTTGACATTCGGTGGCAGTTTCAAGCCAAGAAAAGCAAAGCAGCCTAGAAAAGGCCCAGCTCATTGTTTATGGAGTGTCATACCACATCATCTGTGAGACCAATAACAGAGATGGGGAGACCTTTAAAAGGGGGGAATATGCAGAGGGTGATTGTATGGCTACCATGGATGTCAGAACCAATAGGCAAGCTGGGAGCTGTTTCTTACACTTAGATTCTCTTTGTCAGATGATCTGGGGACTCTTCTGCAGATTATTAAGCATTAAACAGATTTTGTCAATTGCTGGAGATAAAAAAAGCCCAGTAAGGAAGCAGGAAAACAGCACCTACTGCTGGGAAAATGCATCACATCATTAATGCTTACAAGTCCTCTCTTATTTCTATAGTATATTCAAATAGCAAAAAGAAAAAAGTACTATGTTTGGTCCCAGATACAGGGGACAGGTCTCTGATGAACAACCATCACAATGTTGGTCACTTTTTCCCCTTAGAAATATGCTGTTTGTATAGTTGTTCAAAAGCAAAAATAATGGAATCATAGCATTTCATATCTTGAGGTTTAGTTTATCATTACCAAAGAAGATGTTCCTTCAAATGCCAGACCAACCATACATTGACTAGATAGCCATAAGGAAGTCACTCTGATGTAGGAGTCATTCAGATGACCAGCTTTACTGTGATTACAACTTATATCTCTCACATGTTTGTGCCAGTGCTGAAAGTTGAACACTGTTAACAGGAATATTGCCTAACAGGACCACAACTCCCAGCAAATCATCATTGACCCTAGCATCAGAAGTTTATTTCAGTTAATACCCCTGGAAGGCAAAATATTCCCCTATTATAGATTATGTGGAAATGTGGTGCTGCTACTTCTATTAACTGTGTTTAGAAGAAGAATGAATAGAAAAATGAAGTCCTTTATACCCACTCAAAATGTCATGTTTGTACTGGTAAACATTAACAAAACATTTTCTCTTATGTTGGCAACAGATGTTGCCCATTCTTCCAAGTAGAGATAGGCAACATATGGACTTTCATCGGCTCCAGCCAGCATCACCAATGTTACACATGAGGGGAGTTGCAATCCAGCAACATCTGGAATGATGCAGGTGTTAGGTCATTGTATGCAGTGATAATGGTTTCAAGGATTCCTGTTGCCATATTATGAAATTCCTGAAGACTTGTCAATAATATTTTGCACTTTATCCATCTGAAAACACCTAGTATAGAGTGAGGATTTTTCCCCTTAAGTGTCAACATGTGCCAGCATGAATTTAAAGAAGTTAAATGAAACTTTAAAGGCTTTAAAGGCTTTTAAAGTTCACAAAAAATGTAAAGAATATGTGTGTGTACAAAAAGTCTCTCTGTCTGCCTTCTAGCTATGTGTT